GATCTTATGCACTACCTTACTCGACAAACACATATGATGTGTCGGACAGGGGGGCATATCTTCACTCGTGGCCGCTACCCTGCGAAACCCCGCCTTCCCCGGTATTTCGGGGCACCCTCATCCAGTCACCCTACCCGACTTCTCAGTGAATCGCTCAGGTTTCGCACCTACCACCGGCATCCAAGGGAATCTGCCGGATCGAAGGCGGCCCAACTCCATTCCTGGTCGGCTCGCGAGTCAACTTTATCCCAGGTCACCACCGTCCACAGACTAGGGGGACTTTACCTTCCACCATTGGAGCGTGCTCTACCAGTAGTGCCTGACCTGTGACATATGATTTGGCTCCCAACCATGTCCAGCAACATGCACAGGCTTCCTGACGGTTTTAACATGGAATCAGACTGTGAAGGGTGTAATGGCGCCTGATGACCAGCTGAAGTTAGCAAACCTTATCCATGGTATCAGGCTACAATACCTAAGTATTTTGGACAGCCTTCGGCTGGTCCTTGGCCCCCCTCAGGGCTCAAATGCGCCCCTAGGTTACACCTGTGGAGGAGCAACAGAACTCCAGAAGGTGTGATATAATACACACACTACACCATTTGGTACGTCCCACCGTGTCAGAGAACACAATTGATAAGCTAATAGCACGAATCAGCACCATCCGAGATATGTCCACGGAATACTACATCCATGTATGGACAGCCAGCAGGATTGAGTACGGCATACCCAGCAGCGCCTGACCGCACCAACACACATGATCCCAGCATGCACGGTCAACATATACATGCGTTTGCAGCAAAAAGCCATACGGGCATCTTGCTGTGTTAGGACTAATCATCACCAATAGTACACCTGCCAGCCCCTAAACCCGGAAAACCACATTAGCAGCAGTGATGCCGCCAGAGGTCACCTGGGGAATCCCTACACCCTATTATACCCCAGCAGCAGGCAAGTCGGCAGCCAGGTCTAGATCCAGATCCAGATGCAGATAGACATACATAGACATACATGACAGTCCGCGCAATAGGACCGACCGAAGGACTGAAGTCCGCAGGAGGAGGTCTCAGGAGGTGAGGTTGCGTACGGCAACACGCCAAGCATGCATTTGCTCATTCTATCCTCCCTGTCAGCTTTGTATTAAACTAAGGAAGGAACGAAAGAGGCCGTCGCCTGTCCCCACCAGCAAGCTAAGCGCAAAACAGCACGTTTTCTGAAAAGCCCCTCAAGCAAGATGTGGGTGATTGAATCTCTGCCACGACCCTGCTATAAGTAAAGCAGGGGGTACCCACATTTTCCCGGAGTGTCAGCGCCCAACCCTCGACCATTTTGTCGATAGAGGACGGCGGAATGGCCGGCACTGCAGGTGGCTGGGCACTGATCAAACAGACGGTAACACGGAAGGGGCTGGTCGTCGAGCAGGTGGCGTTGACCAGCCGCACGCGGCCGTTAGGGTACAGGGAAGATGTGTTGCTGAGGATCTGGGCTGTGATTTCAGGGCATGCAGATGAGCTAACCATGGGGTCAAGGGGTTGGGTGATATACGCGCTGGCGCAGAACGCGCAGCTGCTGGCGGGTGGTGGTGGTGGTGGTGGTGAGGATATGCGAACGGGTGATGGTGGCGGCGACTTGCGGACGGGTGGTGGTGGTGGCGGCTTACGAGCGGGTGATGGTTGTGGCGGCTTGGAAGTGAGTGATGGTTGTGGCGGCTTGGAAGTGGGTGATGGTTGTGGCGGCTTGGAAGTGGGTGATGGTTGTGGCGGCTTGGAAGTGGGTGATGGTGGCGGCGGCTTGCGAGCAGGCGATGGTTGTGGCGGCTTGCGAGGAAACCGCCATGTTGGCGATGGTGGATTTGCAAGAGCCGGGCCGATATCAAGATACGGCCATGACGGCGGCGCTGCAAGGGCTGGCCCGATACCTGGAGGCCAGCTTGGCCCGCTAGAAGGGCGCGAGACAGCTGCTGATGCGGTGTCGATGTCCGACAACAGCGCTGCGAGCAGGTAGGCGATTTGTGCGCGTGGGTGTAAAGCAGGTAGAGGGGGATGGGAAATCGCCTCCTCATTTCAAGTTAAGCAAAGAATCGCTTGGCACCGCTATTTGTGATTTACAATGGTGGTTCCGTGGTGAGCCCGGTTGCGCGATTACGTACGCAAGCACAGCGGTGTTTACGCGAAGCTACTGAACGTGACGACACGGTCTAAAGCTTCTTGTGTGTGTTGCTGTCTTGAATGGCCTTGCGTTCTCACCTGCCATAGCCAGGGCTAATATAGCAGCGGCAGCAGCGGCACCCATGGCCGAGGGTTTGCAAAGAGGCAAGGGCAAGCAAATGCCAGGGACAAAAGTCAAAGTTGTGACAGATAAAATTTCTATGACTCTGCGTTAGCTGGTTTGCTGAAGGATGGCTGGTGAAGCAGGAACGGCCGTTTTAGGAGCCGCGAAGCGCCTGTAATTTCACGCCTGTTATCTATCAACTTCGAGCATAAAAGCTATATACAAAACAGTTTGTATACAAGCAATTTTTATACAAAAATTTCCGGAAGCAACGTAAGAGAGGGCTGTGCGGGTGTGTGTGCCCGTAGGCGCCCGCCAGCAGTTACACAAGCGGTAGCGAGAAGCTATGCGACAGGGCACGATAGAGCAGAATGCCTTCTGGGGCTACTCGAAGCCTACTGCAAAGCGACGGGTATGGCCGCGAATGCCGCCAAATGCGAGGTCCTCATTTTTGGGGGCGCTACACGTGAGCGGAAGCGGCTTATGGAAGCTGATTGTTGACTTAGATACGACGGAGCGAAGCGATCGGAGTCTCTAAGTCTGGTTCTGTGCGACTGTCGTACAACCGTATTGGAATGGCGAGTATTGCTTAAACGTCATCGCGTGATCCGTACTCCCTACTAACTTATTGTGGGGAAGGCCATTGCGTCTGCGACCACACTCCCGCGGTACCCAAACCCTTCAAAGACAACTCCGATCAGCCATTTGGCTGTTAGTGGGAGGGCGGGTGGGCCGCTCGCACGGCAATCGAGTAGAGAGTACGAAATAACCTAATGCAGTCATCGTCAACAGAAAACGTAAGCCTCCAGCCTCACGCCGACTCTCTTACCGACCATTCATATTTTCTACCTCGTCCACAAGACTCCGCCGCGTTGCCTCTAGTTCGGCTCGTGCCACAGGTAACTTCGCTCGTCGCTACTTTGCCATTCACCTTCGCCTCCACCCAGCCTCTGCTTCTCCACAGAAGCGGCGACCTCCTTCGCCGTTGTTACGCCTCGTCTATGCGACTCCTCATCATCCGGCTGGGTCTTCTGCCTACCCGGTGCGCACCCCCTCCCTCTGCGCATCCATTTCTCCGGCCCTCTCTTACGGTTGCCTACCTTACTGCAGGACTCGCCCCTTGCCTGTCCGGTGCCGGGTAGGCTTTCCTTGCCTCCCCCGGCCCTCCTTGGGGCGCCCCTCTCTGGCTCGTCAACTACCTTACTTCCGTCCGTCCCTGGCCCTCGGGGGCCCAACCCCTCCGCCCTTTCTGTGGGCCCGATGCCCGCTCTGGACTTGTCTCACGCCCCCGGCCTCTCTGATGCTGCCCCCCCGGTAGGCTTGCTCCTGCGCCTGGGTCCTGTCTCTTCTTTCCGTCGCGCTTACCTCTCCTACCTTCTTCTGCCCTCCAGGCACTGCCGGAGCCTACTCTGCCCCAAATCTTGGCCGCGCGCGTCCGCCCCACTTCCATACCCTCTGCCGTACTGGACCCACCTTCCAGCCGTCAGCTTTATACCGTCGCCCTCGCGAAGGCCGCCACCGTCTGCGACAGCTCGTTGGCTCGCGAAACCATTGCCCGCCAGGAGGCTGCTGGCCGTGACCTCTCTGCCTGGCTGGCCTCCCTGCCCCATGGCCGTACCCTGCTAACCTGCACTGATGACGACCTACTCGTCTACCTGGAGGCGCACTGGCTCCCCAACCGCCGTGTGGACGACCCGAGCCCCAACACCGTCAACAATCATCTGGGTCTACTCTCCGGGCTGTTTAACCGCTTGGGCCGTGGCAGCACTTACGACCGTGAAACCGGCATAGGCAACCCCTGCTGCTCCAGCGCCTTGTCCTCCTACAAGACTGGCTATAGTCGTCTCGCCGCCGACCGTGGCTATGAGGAGCAAGCCGCCGTACCACTCAGCCCTAGCGACTTCACCACCCTCATGGACCACCTCTGGTCCGGATTCCAGGCTTCCACCACCTCCCTGACCCGGCTGCTGCTACTACGCGACCTGTTGTGCTGCCAATTCATGTGGCACACCAGCTACCGCGGCCACGACACCGGCAAACTGCGGCTACGTGACTTCCGTGACCCGCGTGGTGGGGGTCCCTTCCGTGGGTTTCCCCTACCTCTGCCGGACCCGTTTGGTGCCTACCCCTCACTTTCCTTACGGATCGAACAACTCGGGACCAAAACATCCAAGGGGCGTCGAGCCCCCCCCTTGGAACTGCGTCCCGACCCTTCTCCGCGACATTGCTTCATCCGCACCCTCGCCCTCTATTGGCAGCTGTGCCATGCCCCCGACGCCCCCCCAGGGTCTGCAATTTCCGACTACCTCTTCCGTCCCACTGACCGGGGTCACCAACGCTTCGTGGAGCGTCCATTTTCCAGCAGCGCGTTAGCCATGCGAGTGGGCAAACACCTGGAGGAGGCTGGTGTCTACGTCGGGCAAACTCCTCATGGGTTTCGTCGTGGTACTATCCAGGCCACGCAGGCCGCTGGCGCATCCCGCGCGGAGCTCCACGCGTTCTCCCAGATACGCAGCGCTCAAGTCCTGGAGCGTTATACCGACGCCTCTCGGCCCACTCGTGTCCCTCGCGGCTCCGGTCCCAAATCCTAGCCTCCGCCTCCTGCTGGTGACGCCCCTCTTAGCCCTGGTGCTCCCTTCGTGGCTCGTCCTCCTCCCCTCTCCCCACCACATCGACGGGCGGGTGGGCGGGGTTCTGACTTGCACTTGCTTGCACGGTTGACTGGCGAACTTGCGTTGTCTGGATTTAGCGCTTTGTTCTCAGCTAATCTTTGTAACGAACTACAGTATCAGTCCCTGTCCTCTGGCCAGTTCTGGTCTGCGCCTTCCTGCGCCGCACTTGCCGTACTGCACTACAGGACGAGCACTTAATCAACATGCATTGCTTAAACGTCATCGCGTGATCCGTACTCCCTACTAACTTATTGTGGGGAAGGCCATTGCGTCTGCGACCACACTCCCGCGGTACCCAAACCCTTCAAAGACAACTCCGATCAGCCCCAACACACACCGCGGAGCGGTCTCTCCCCCCCCACATACTTCCCAGGTGGTACCCTGGGTCCTCTCGCTCACCAGCCCCTCCTCTCCTTGGCCCTTGTGACATCTGCCAGGCGTTCTTGCTGCACAGGCCGGTATTTCAGAAAACAAGGAAAGTACATCAGATGAATGCAGAGGCGCAGCTTGCCCTCCTTTCCCACCACTCGCAGGCCGTTGATAAGCGTGGGTGTATTGCATTAGCTGGGCATTCCAGTATCCCACCGCAGAGAGCCGTGCTTAACTCGGCTGTAACGACGCCGCTGTGGGAACTGCACTGCATGCGGCCGGTGACCTGCCATTATTATTTCCGGGTTGCAGTCCAGCCTCGCGACCTGCAGCAACTCCTGCACAATAGCTAGCTTGCGGTCCCGCTCAGGCACTATTTGTTGTCCTGGGTGTTCGCACGACACCCACTCCAGCTGGAGCCCTCCCTCCAGGTGGCCTAGCCAACGTCTCTGTCCGTGAGCGGGCAGCCTTCTTTAGCTGCCTGGAAGACCTCTCACCACACTGCTACATGTGTAAGTAGCTTTCCTGGCTGGTAGTCCTCAGGTCCGGAAGCAAAAGACGATCTCTTCTACAACTCTTTCTCATTCTGCTGATCTTCTGCGTCATGTCGCCCTAGAGGCTGTAGCCTCTGTCCGGCCTCCTGGAGCAGCTGTATGCCTCGCTGCACGCTTCCTTGGGTGTCCCCGCTCCCCTTGCTGGTGTTCGTCCTGCGACGCCGGGTTCTCCCCTTTCTGCTCCTCACTCACCCACTTGCTGCCTTCACAAGGGTCATCGTTTCACGACAGCCGTTCGTCCAGATCAGCTCCCTCCTCCTCCCGGGTGTCCGTGTGGTAGCCCGTGCTAGATCCTCCGGCTCCTTCCCCCTTCTATCCCTCGCTTGATCGCAGTTAACACAGTAAGCCTGGGCTTCTGGGCTTAGGTCTCCTTGCGCGGCGCCCCGGTGTGGCTAACCAGGGCGTCCGCCCGTTGGGCCACCCGTACTGCCTCCGTTGCCTCCGTTGCCTCCGTTGCTGGGTGTTCATACCGGCAGCGCTGCCCAACCTGCACCTTAACACAGGGCCCCTTCCCGCGTAGCTAGTACACAAGTCAGTGCCATTCACATAGCCCCTGTACACGCTCTCCGTGATCTGCTCCTCCCCCAATTCCTGGTATCCCCGCCGACCCAGCTCACGGTTTAGAGCCACTACTACGCTGGCAGGCGGGCTCAGCCGCGGTCCATCGCGGCCCCTCACCGTGAGGCGTTCCCGGGTTAACTAGGCCCTGGTAGCCCACACCCACCGGGCTACGACTTGCGCTCCTCTGGTCGTGGAAGCCGGGAACCCCCGATTGCCGCCCTTCCCATGCCGTTCTGCTGCCCACACTCTTTCTGCGCTCAATGTCAACCTCCTCCTAAATTCCTTAGTAGGCTGTGAGCCAGCTGCCATGCGCCTCTGGGAACTTCACGGCCGTGCGCGTGAACAGTACCACGGCCGGCCAGGTTCACTCCCGCAACTCCTTGAACATCGGAGGCTGACATCCACAGCCTGGAGGGCCGCCTCTAACCCGAACACCCGGCATTCGCGGGCCTGCTGCTGTAGCTTGAACTCACTCGTCCCCACTCAGTTCCATGGCACCAGGTATCCAGTAATTTGCCCCGTGAAGTGTCCTTTGAGAAGCGAGTTTGGCTTTTGCCCGATGTACACCCCAACGCGCTGATGTTGCGGCCCTGCAGAATCACTGCAGCACTCACGCAATTCCTTGGCCATCCCCGGGCCCACCTTAGCCAATGCGTCCTCGAGCACCTCGTCCTCCCGCTCTAGCCTAACACGACTGCGGGTTTACCACCCGCATTGCGTGGTGGCTTGGCGCCATTACTCCAACCTGGCCCTCCGGGGCCTCCCACAGCTGGGATGTTGGGACGCGGCCAACGACCTCGTAATGCAGCGCCTCCGGGGCTGCCATGTTGTTTCCTTACGGCGGCCATGTGCCTCTTGGATGGCCTTCTCCCGGACGCCCCGGTTCGCCTGAGGCTGCTCTTTCAGGCCAGTGGCTGCTGCCGGATACCGGGCTCCCGCTCCCGCGTTGGCTAGCTGCGTCTCCCGGGCCTAATCCTCAGCCCAAGCGTCTGACTGCTGCCGTTTATCCTCCCGTCCTTCCCTGGCTTCCGCACCCCAGGGGTGGCTTCCATGCCTTCTAATCTGTGACTCAGGAAACCGCGCCACCATTCGCTTCTCTTCTTCCACCTGGTCCTCTTAGCCCTGGCTTGGGCTGTCAGGACGAGCTTCCGACCCTTGGTACCCGTTGCCCCGATGCCGCCCTCCCCGACGTGCCTCCACAACTGCACCTCATCCATTGCTGCTGTCCGAGTTATCTCCCCTTTCTGGCTCCAAGTCCTCCTCGTCCACTTCTGGCCCCATGCACTCCGTCTGGGTGCTCCGCTACACGAGAACAATCCCGCTGGGGTTGGTCCTCCGGGCGGACACAACACAACCTACCAGCCCAAAGCAACCCAGCCTGGGTACTTCGCCGCGCGAGAGCGTAACCCCTGGGGTTGGCCTTCCGGATACATGCGACCCATCCTCCTGGCCCAAGGCAACTCAGCCTGGGTGCTTCGCTGTCCGAGAGCAAACCTTGCTGGGGCTGGCCTTGCGGATAAACGCGACACAACCTACCGGACCAAAGCAACTCAACCTGGGTGCTTCGCTGTCCGAGAGCAAAACCTGCTGGTGCGGGCCTTGCGGATAAACCCAACGCAAACTACCGGACCAAAGCAACTCAACCTGGGTGCTTCGCTGTCCGAGAGCAAACCTGCTGGGGCTGGCCTTGCGGATAAACGCAACGCAAACTACCGGCCCAAAGCAGCTCCGCCTGGGTGCTTCGCTGTCCGAGAGCAAAACCTTGCGGGTGCTGGCCTTGCGGATAAACGCCACGCAACCTACCAACCCAAAGCAGCTCCGCCTGGGTGCTTCGCTGTCCGAGAGCAAAACCTTGCGGGTGCTGGCCTTGCGGATAAACGCCACGCAACCTACCAACCCAAAGCAGCTCCGCCTGGGTGCTTCGCTGTCCGAGAGCAAAACCTTGCGGGTGCTGGCCTTGCGGATAAACCCAACGCAAACTACCGGACCAAAGCAGCTCCGCCTGGGTGCTTCGCTGTCCGAGAGCAAAACCTTGCGGGTGCTGGCCTTGCGGATAAACGCCACACAACCTACCGGCCCAAAGCAGCTCCGCCTGGGTGCTTCGCTGTCCGAGAGCAAAACCTTGCGGGTGCTGGCCTTGCGGATAAACGCCACGCAACCTACCAACCCAAAGCAGCTCCGCCTGGGTGCTTCGCTGTCCGAGAGCAAAACCTTGCGGGTGCTGGCCTTGCGGATAAACGCCACGCAACCTACCAACCCAAAGCAGCTCCGCCTGGGTGCTTCGCTGTCCGAGAGCAAAACCTTGCGGGTGCTGGCCTTGCTGATAAACGCCACGCAACCTACCAACCCAAAGCAGCTCCGCCTGGGTGCTTCGCTGTCCGAGAGCAAAACCTTGCGGGTGCTGGCCTTGCTGATAAACGCCACGCAACCTACCAACCCAAAGCAGCTCCGCCTGGGTGCTTCGCTGTCCGAGAGCAAAACCTTGCGGGTGCTGGCCTTGCGGATAAACGCCACGCAACCTACCAACCCAAAGCAGCTCCGCCTGGGTGCTTCGCTGTCCGAGCAAAACCTTGCGGGTGCTGGCCTTGCGGATAAACGCCACGCAACCTACCAACCCAAAGCAGCTCCGCCTGGGTGCTTCACTGTCCGAGAGCAAAACCTTGCGGGTGCTGGCCTTGCGGATAAACGCCACGCAACCTACCGGCCCAAAGCAGCTCCGCCTGGGTGCTTCGCTGTCCGAGAGCAAACCTTGCGGGTGCTGGCCTTGCGGATAAACGCCACGCAACCTACCGGCCCAAAGCAGCTCCGCCTGGGTGCTTCGCTGTCGCGAGCATAACCTTGCGGGTGCTGGCCTTGCTGGATAAACGCCACGCAACCTACCAACCCAAAGCAGCTCCGCCTGGGTGCTTCGCCGCGCGAGAGCAAAACCTCGCGGGTGCTGGCCTTGCGGATAAACGCCACGCAACCTACCAACCCAAAGCAGCTCCGCCTGGGTGCTTCGCTGTCGCGAGAGCAAACCTCGCGGGTGCTGGCCTTCCGGATAAACGCCACGCAACCTACCGGCCCAAGGCAGCTCAGCCTGGGTGCTTCGCTGCGCGAGAGCATACCCGCAGGGGCTGGCCTTCCGGACAAACGCGACCCAGTCTACCGGCCCAAGGCAACTCAGCCTGGGTGCTTCGCCGCGCGAGAGCAGACCCCCTGGGGCTGGCCTTCCGGATAAACTCTTCCTATGCTACTGGCCTAAGGCAACCCAGTCCTGGTGCTGGCCTTCCAGCTAAACGCATCTAAGCCTTCGGCCCAAGGCCACTCAGCCTGGGTACTTCACCGCGCACCCCCTGGGGCTGGCCTTTCGGATCAGCACAACGCAACGCTGGCGTTTCTCTCCCTGAGAGCATCACCCGGGTAAAGCCTACCGGCCGTGGGTACTCGTTATTGCGCAGGCTTCTTGAGTCTAGTTGCTACCCTTTGCGGGCGTAGCTCCCCGATGAGCGCAAAGCGGTCCGGGCGCTTCGGTGGGCTCCAGCTGGGCACCTGGCAGTAACCCGTGGTGATAATAAACCACGTTGAGCTCAACCTCAAAGCAGTGACCTCTCCGCCGCGGCGCCGTCCCCTCCTAGCTGGATCACACCATTCCCCAGCAAAATATGCGTAGCTGCCAAGCCTTTGCGGCCGGTTCCGGGACACCCCTTTCCCTCTTACACGCAACCGGGTAGGCCTAGTTGCAGCTGGCTGCGCCTGCTTTCAGACAACGCGGGATAAGGAGCGCAGTCCGGTGATAATCACAACATCCCCTTCTGGGTGTTTCCGTCGCGTGCCATTCTTATCGCCTTCGTCATAGCCATTACTTCGTTCTCCTCCGGACCTTCTCCGACTCCGCCGCGCACTTCATCCCGCTCAGCCATCACTTCGCTGTTACTGACGCCCGATGTGCCAGTAACGCTGTGTTCTCTGATATCCTTCCTTATTAAACTGGGTCCATATGTATTGTATATTGTTATTTTGCCGTCCCTATTCCCCAACAAACGACGTTCTGACTTGCACTTGCTTGCACGGTTGACTGGCGAACTTGCGTTGTCTGGATTTAGCGCTTTGTTCTCAGCTAATCTTTGTAACGAACTACAGTATCAGTCCCTGTCCTCTGGCCAGTTCTGGTCTGCGCCTTCCTGCGCCGCACTTGCCGTACTGCACTACAGGACGAGCACTTAATCAATGCATTAATTGCTTCAGCTCTTTCGTATCAGGCATTCTGCCTTTCACTCAGTAGAGCTTCAGCTTGTAGCTGACAGCTTTTTTGCTGTTCATTTCTCGGATAGAGCATCGTGCTCGCCATTGAAGCCCTACCTAGTCATCACCTTCTGTTCAAGTTCCTGTATTCTCTCGTTCTTTTTTTCATCTAAGGGAGATGTCGACATTAAACAACGAGCAATTGCAGCAACGGCAAGGTACGGCCGCCCAAGATGGCGCCAATATGGCGATCAACGCTACCACCAGCCTTGCGGGCCCCTCCACCAGCGAGGCTGGTGGCTTCACCTTCTCACCACCTCCCAACCGACCTTCTCCACCGGCCTGCAGCCCCGCCACGGGAGCGGCGGTGGTTACCACCGCAATCCAGCAGAACATCACCCCACTCCAGCAACAGATGGCGGAACAGAGTCAGCTTTTGGCCTCCATGGCTAAAGTAATGACAGCTGGCCAAAATCCGGCAGCCACTGTTCTGTCGCCAGCCCAGGCGGCGGCGGCATCGGTCGCACCAGACAAGGCAAAAAGAAGTAAGGAGAAAAGGAAGAAGAAGGAAGACAGCTCAAGCTCAAGTTCCTCATCAAGCAGTGACGACGAGGCTCCGGAGAGGTTGCCGCGCTTAGTGGACCGTATTGAGGCGCAACAGCCCACCGACCCGTCGGGCTTCCAAAAACAAATCTTCCATGGCTTTGCTACGCAGGGTAAGCTGGCTTTAGCGTTGCTGGCGGAGGTTCCGCCGAATGTGAAGGGCGCCACGAAAGTTCTCAAGCCTTTGATTCGCCGACCTCCGCGCGGCGAATGGTCGGCATGGCGGATCTTGGCCAGCTCGGAAGCCCGACGGGTCAGTGGGCTGTTGCGCCTCGATCCGGTCCACTAAGCGGTCCACTAAGCGCTGCAACCTCTCCGGAGCCTCGTCGTCACTGCTTGATGAGGAACTTGAGCTTGAGCTGTCTTCCTTCTTCTTCCTTTTCTCCTTACTTCTTTTTGCCTTGTCTGGTGTGACCGATGCCGCTGCCGCCTGGGCTGGCGACAGAACAGTGGCTGCCGGATTTTGGCCAGCTGTTATTACTTTAGCCATGGAGGCCAAAAGCTGACTCTGTTCTGCCATCTGTTGCTGGAGTGGGGTGATGTTCTGCTGGATTGCGGTGGTAACCACCACCGCTCCCGTGGCGGGGCTGCAGGCCGGTGGAGAAGGTCGGTTGGGAGGTGGTGAGAAGGTGAAGCCACCAGCCTCGCTGGTGGAGGGGCCTGCAAGGCTGGTGGTAGCGTTGATCGCCATATTGGCGCCATCTTGGGCGGCCGTACCTTGCCGTTGCTGCAATTGCTCGTTGTTTAATGTCGACATCTCCCTTAGATGAAAAAAAGAACGAGAGAATACAGGAACTTGAACAGAAGGTGATGACTAGGTAGGGCTTCAATGGTGAGCATGATGCTCTATCCGAGGATTGAACAGCAAAAAAGCTGTCAGCTACAAGCTGAAGCTCTACTGAGTGAAAGGCAGAATGCAGTGTAAGGGCCCTTGGCAGCCTGTCTCCCCGTTTTCCGCCCCCTATCATTCTTTGCACGGTCAGCCAGCAGGTTCGAGTCTACATAGCCATGAGAATACAGTTAAGGGAGACAGGAGCACAGAAGTACCGGTTAGGCGGGGCAGGGTTGCGGGTGCTGACCGGCAACGAGATGGCACGGTATCTCGGGTTGCACTATGGCCGAGGAGTGCAGTTCTCAGCATGTACCAAGCAACTACTCACAGCAGGGAGGCGGGCCATGTTTGTGTCGAGATAAGAAAATTACCACCCTCAAGCTATGTACGTCTCTCTACAATACACTAGTTGTACCGGTGTTTTCTTATGGAGCGCAAGTTTGGGGACCTGACTTCATAAATGTGTATTTTGAAGGTGCTATGACTAATCCAATGGTCCAGGAACAGCGTGCATACATGCGATCCGTAGTTGGGGTGAGGAGCCTGACTATGGTTTCCCTATATTGTGAGCTGTCACAGAGGCCACTCCAGTTCGATTGGACCAATCTTGTACTTAGGTTTTGGAACTCTGTGGTTAAGAGGCCGGGAATGCTGTGTCACCAGGCATTTGTCGCTGACCTGGAGTTGGCACTTGTTGGCGTCACTGAGTGTTGGGCGAGCAAGGTACTAGCCTTTCTTACTAGCTTAGGAGCGGAACCCCCCACTAATACACACGGTAATGATCTATTGTGTACTACACCACCCTTAAATTGCCAGTTGAGAGCATTCTTAAGGTATTTGCCAAGCGGCTTGATGCATGGTGGGAATGCCTGAATACCTTGGGTGACCCCCGTGTTTTCCCCATAGGGATTACCGGAGCCAAGGCTTGTCGCTATATGAACTGGATGGGAGCTGCCCTGCCTAGGGGTGCATGTCTCGATTGGTTGGAGCACACTAAAGGGACCATGCCCCAGCGACTTCATCATGTGCTCATGCATTTTCGGTTAGGCTGTTGGGAGTTAGAGGTTAATAGGCCTAATGGGTGTGAGTGCACTGCGTGTACCTGCAGGCTTTGTGACTGTGGAGCGGTTGAAGATGAGTTGCATGTTTTCGAGGAATGTCCCGCTTACAAGAGCATACAGGCTAAGTATGATGGTGATGTAGTCTTTAAGGGGCACAGCATGCGCACCATTTTGACTGAGGCGCCACCCCTGGCATTGGCCAGGTACCTCTCGGAAATTTGGGAGGCCAGGCACGTCGTGCTGAGGCGCTTCACCCTGAAGTGGACGAGGGACAATCAAGATGACGAGGGATGAGGGAGACTCAATACCAATACAACGTCCATGCCCCCCCCGGGCTTTTATGGACACACCCACACTTGTGTGTGGAACTTGTAACTTGTAACTTGCTATCAAGAGAACGTGCCGTGAAGCAAGATGGATGCATTTTAGGCGTTGGCATACATGATAACGAATGCCCAGCAGGCAGCCGAAACACATCGCTGCAGCGGGATTATAAGAGTCGGGACCTCGATTCTGGAACCACAAAACTTGCCATCAGGCAGGAAAAGAATTGAAGGAACCCCTACACACACAAAATTCAGTTATTACCTTTTCCATGTACTGTAATTTTTTTGGCTCAGGCTCAGTTAACTTTACTGAGTTCCCTTCAAGCTGACACCCGCTGGATGGGAGCCCCCCCCCCAAACAGTACAAAATCTATTCAGTCAAATCTAGATGTATAGGAGCGCGAGCAAGCGGTCGACACATCAAGCACAAGTCCATAAAGGGTGAAGCTTATTCTCGGGCTTAGCTGTCATGCCGCGAATGCTGATGTCGGCCACACTCTGCACGTGTGCGGTGCCGCTATTTCCACTAGCGCAACAGCATTTTTAAACTGCTTGACTGTGGTAATTTTTTAGTGACCAAGTGGTTACTGTGGGGGTTTTCCTTGGTAACCACCTTGGCAACCACCCCAGCGAGTATGCTGAACAGGAGCCCACTAGAACCATGCATCCGAAGACCCAACTTCACAACGGTCATTCACGGCTTTGAACAGCCAACAAACAACGCGTATATATTAGTTAGTTTATTTACACGGATATATGTACAGAAAGATTGCGTGTCACTACGGGGTTTTGTGGCCCCCAATTTCCTGGCGACCACCTGGTTACTGGCAGGTGGCTCAAACATTTCCGAGTGACCACCTTCTGGAAGGGAATTGTTTTCTCAGTAACCACCTGGTCACTAGTAACCACTTTTAAAAACACTGTAGCGCAGCTCACCGGCTCCCCCCCCCTCGATATGTACCTGTGAACTTCTCGATGAAGGGAAGGCCTGCATGTCTTTTATAAACTTCCAGCCGGGTTGTATTTATAGGCGCATGGAAGATGTACTGCATGGACTTGACTGGATCCAGGACATACATATAGAGACTCCGTTGCATTACTGGAAGTTTGACGACTTAGAAGTCTTACTGGATGGGCTGGAATGGATATGCAGACACATGGAACCGATTCAGCGCCCTTCTCTGCTTGCGTCCTTGCTGGGAATGGACCTGGCGCGTCTCGTCGCAGTGATAAGATGACATCAAATTTCCTTCCATGCGTGTACAACTGTCCAGCGAAAGAGTGAAGTATGGAGCTATGGACTTTGTAAACAGGAGTCCTCTCCAAAAACGGTTTGTACGAGCTCGTTACCAGGCGTGGCTTTGGAAAAGCACCAAGGGCCAGCCTAAGCAGTCCTCTGCTCACTTGTCATGCTAAACTTACCGAATAAGTGCGAATGAACTTATCCTGTACAAGGCATAAACAAAATACTGCAGTGCTTTAAGCACTCAACTCATTCGATTGCACAGATAAACTCATACTTATTCTGAAAGGACATAATTCATCCAAAGCTGCAAACGTGCGAGGGATCGCGCCTTTCGACTTGTCCGGCGCAGAGCTGTCTCTGTACGCAACATGCGCAATGTCACAAGCATCCACACGTTTTCCGATATAAGTGCATTAGGTTAATTGCGTGAAGCTAATTACTCATTTACCTCGCGAAGCTTCACCGTCCAGACGGCTGGCGTACTGTAAGGGATCATAATGTCAGTGACGCTACACACCAACGTGGGAGACCTGAAGCTTGAGCTGTTTTGCGAGCAGGTGAGGACCCGGAAACAAGGACACGGACGCGCCTGACCTTGCCCGGTGCTCGTACTCCCACATCCCATCCACGGCAAGCACCAGTTGCTTTTCCTCCTTTCCACCACCACCACCACCACCACCAGGCCCCAAAAGCGCTGCCAACGGGCCCCGTATGACACGCCTTCCTTCTCCCGTCCTCCCCTTTTCCCTCTTCCAACCGCTGCAAAAGGCCCCTCGCGCCTGTGAGAATTTCCTGGCCCTATGTGCCAGTGGCTACTACGATGCCGTCCACTTCCACCGCAACATCAAGGGCTTCATGATCCAGGGTGGTGAGTGAGGAGAGGGCGTAGGAGAGGGCTTCCGGAACCCCCCGGGACCTGGGCTGGAGCCAGCTCCCTCCCTAGGCCCCCTCCCTCCGTAGAGTTCACTTTGCATGTACCACCCATTCCGCCTCTCCTCGCTCCGCCAGCCGTGGATGGGCTTCCAGAACCACATAGGGGCCTTCATCACCGGCAGGTCGGTTTGGACCTCGACGAATGCGTCTTTTGCATTTGCATCATCACAATCATCATCACCGTTAGCATCATCATTATCATCATCTCATCATTGATAGCATCATCGCTATCATCATTATCATCACAATCATCATCATCATCACATCATCATCATCACAATTATCATCATCCCCCAACTCTCCCCCCCTTAACCTTACCCATATCTGTCCCCGCGGGTAGCAAGGACCTCATTCCGACCCAGAAGCCCCCGCCGCAGGTTCCCCCCAACCCCAACCAACCCCCCCTTCCTCACCTCTCACTCCCCACACAGGCGACCCCACAGGCACCGGCAAGGGCGGTCGGTCCATTTATCCCACCCCCAACGGCAAGTTTCCCGACGAATTCCACGACGCCTTAAAGCACAGCAAGCGGGGCATCGTTTCGATGGCCAACAGCGGTCCAAACACGAACGGCAGGTGTGAGGGCCAGGGGGACCGTGAGGAGATGGGCTCCTTTGCAGCGAAAGAGAGATGGTGCTGGGATGAACGGAGGAATTATTACTGGGCGGCAGGTTGGGGCGGGGCGGGCCCCCCGCCCATTGGGCAGCAGCTGCACTCTTCGTGGTTCGTCGGTCCCCCCATTAGCCCTTGGGGCGTCCGGACCCGTCACCACATCGACCGCCCCTCTCCCCCCCCAATCGTGTGTGGTTCGTCTTCCCCCCCCATGCCTCTGCAGCCAGTTCTTCATCACCTATAAGGCCCATGCCCATCTGAATGGCAAGTACACGATATTTGGTCAGGTGAGTGAGTCCGGGAGGGAGGATGGGAGGGAGGGGGTACGACGAAGCACAGACGATTGGCGAGAAGAAGAAAAACCATAGACGGATACCCCAAGGTGAGACCACTACTGAACTGAAGGAGAGGAAGTAAGATACGGACCCGAGGGAGGGGGGAAAGAGGGAGGGAGGGAGAGGGAGGGAATGAGAGAGGGAGGGAGAGAGGGAGGGAGAGAGGGAGGGAGAGAGGGAGGGAAGGAGGGAGGGAGGGAGGGAGGGAAGGAGGGAGGGAGGGAGAGAGGGAGGGAAGGAGGGAGGGAGGGAGTAAGGGAGGGAAGGAGGGAGGGAGGGAGAGGGAGGGAGGTGGGAGGTGGGTGGGAGATTATGGCTGAGAGTGCCTATCCACCGTGATCCCCCATCATGAACTCCAACCAGTGATCAGGGAGGGTGTGCCCGACACCCTCGAGGTGCAGCTGCACGGGAGGTAAAGTGGGCAGCTGGGGAAAAGACACGCGAGGCAAGAGGGGTGCAGAGGGGCAGCTGCAGAGGCACTGTAGAGACCGCACAGCGGCCCCCGGGCGGGAGGACTCCGCGGGTGCAGGGGGGGGGCTGATCTGGCCGGCCGGGGCCGCGGTGCTTGTTGGATCTTGCTGGACAGGTCGCCCGGCTTGTAGTTGTTGTGTGGTGTGTGTTCCGGACCCGCTGCTACACCCCTGGTCATCACCCCCAACATCCCCTAATCACCAACCAAGTGGCCTATTCCCAAAGATCTCCGTACGAAAACAAACAAACAGACAGACGCACGCACATTTTCACGTCGACAGGTGATTGACGGCATGGACGTCCTTGACCGAATGGAGAAGGTCCCGACGGACGCGCAGGTGCGGGTGGTGGGGGGGTGGGGTGGAGGGGTGGGGGAGGCGGGTGGGTAGATGAGCGCCCTGGTCCCCTGGTCCGACCCCTCGTGGCAAGGTGAAGGGTACGGCCGTCGGATATTCCCACGGCGGGTGACGAGCTAGGTCTGTGCAAATGGCCGAGGGGCTGGCTGGGGAAGGTCCCCAGCTGGGGGTTGTGGTCTGGTGTGTGTGTGTGTGTGTGGCGGGGGGTGGAGAGGGGACTGGGCAGCATGGGCCGGTAATGGTGGGTGCGAGAGTCACCGGTTAGGGACGGCCCGCTGCTGCAGCGTGACGAACCAGGACAGCAGTCGAGGTGTGTGTGTATGTATGTGTGTGTATGTGGCACTCTTTCTGCCCTGGGTTACGGCAGCGCATGGAGTGTGCGTGTGGAGCGTTTGTGGCTGCCATCGAGCACCTTCCCGACATACATACATACAACACCTCACCAGACAACACCTTGAGTCCGCTTTCTTTACTTGCGTATTTTGTGTTATTTCAGTACTCCCCTGTTTACACAGGGCGAAAAAGAGCGGACTCTTATATTCCATACATCACCTCGCGACACGATACCTCACGATGCCGCATCTGTTGGGTTATCCGTGCACAGGACCGGCCCAAGACCGACATTAAGATTAACAAGGTCACCATCCACGCGAACCCATTGGCGGGGTGACGGCAGCTTCTTTCCGTACCGCGCAGGGCCTGTGTGACCTGTACAGGGCCCTTCGGTTGGACGCATGCAGCCCTTACCGGAGTCTGCACTTACCGTTAACCTCCAGCGGTGCAAAATAAGCCTTTCCACCTTTTGTAGGGGGTTTTGCACACATACATACGTACATGCGTATAATACATACAAACGCGATTTGGTGCTTTCCATAAAACACCTCACCTCCCTCTCGAGACGCCTTTTATAAAGACGAAAGCAAGAGGACGTGCAAACCTTTCTTCCATCCGGCTTGTTAGCTCTCCCCTACTTTGGGAGGATCGATATCTTCAAAAAAGCCTCCTTTGGGAGGATGATCTCCTGGCCTGGGTTTTCCAACAGTAACACGCCACCGGAACACAGTAACACACCACATACAGCGGTTTGACGGCGGATGAAATGTCGCGTGGCGGGACTGCTGGGTTGTGGCATTGTGCAACGCGGCGTTATTGGCGTTGTGGTGGAGGAGCCATGCATGGCCTTGTCGCTGCCCTGCGGTGTGCAGCACCACCACCCCCTACTGGAGAACACAGAGCGCGAGTAGTGGCATGTGTTGGTGTGTTTTGTTTTTATTAAGAACTGTGTTGGTGTGGGTGGGTGGGTGGTAAGACGAACCACAGACAGGTGATGCTGATACCAGAGAAAGACAGGGGGAGCGGGTGGGAGCGAGGGGGCCGGCTGCACGGTGGTGTCATGTCGCACCCCCGGGTCCGCCGATGATGACTCTCCCGGCGGTGGCAACACAGAGCCTAATGGTTGGTCGTGTCGTTGCGTGACGCTGGCAGGGAAAATGGGGCCGACGGTGCCGCTCTTTCTGGAAATAGCAGCACCCATTGGGGCCGTGGGCTGTCCGCAACTGACTGGCAGCCTGGTTGAAGCAAGGCCGAGATGAAAATTTATGTTCATGGCTACATGCACCCTGATTTCCTCTCTCCGCCCCCCCCCCCAAACACACGCCCAAGTGATTGGGGACACGACTTCGCTTCATCGCAGCATGCCGAAGAAACACAGCACGGGCCAGCATGCATCAGCGGTATCACGGTAAGTTTGTCCTTTTTCATTCATATCTGCTTCGCCCCGCGGTGCCGTGTGTGGACTGCGTCGGCACTCATCCACACACCTCCAGCAAGGTTGAGCCCAGTTCTCAGCCGGCCGGAACCGAGGTCTGGTTGAGGTTTGTGTGAGTGTGAGGCATCAATTTACACCATTGTAATTCAGAAAAGAAACATGTTTGTGACTGAATATGCATGTGTGGCCCCATCCATGAACCTAGCTCGCTACCTTTGTAATAAGGCGAAAGGTATTTGGTCGTAGAGCATCATGTTTTCGCTGCAGTCCCCCGCATCCACATCCCAGGAGGCGCGCGCGCGTTGTGAGCCGGCACCACAACAAGGACGTTCCAGGAAGCGTGCGCGCCTAACCATGGACAGCGTGGACGTGGCAAGCGTGGGGCATCCAGCCCGAGTGCCATATCATCGCTACTGCTGACTTCAGTGGTGGCGACGGCTGTGTGTGGGGGTGGTGACGTGTTGGGTCGTGGGAGCGTGTGCGCGCTGTGAGCCAGCTCGGATACTCTACGGTGGCCTCTTTTCCAACGCGCCAATTGATCGTTAACCCAGTACAACATTCATTGCGCCAACAGCTCCCAACACTACTGTCATGTTGAACGTGATGGGCGACCATCGCTTTTTCCATTACCGTCCGCTAGGCGTTCCCTGGGATGGTCAGGATGTTCGGTGTTGGGAGCGTCCGCTGGCGGGGTACATGTAAATACGGACAGAAAAGGCTTTGGTACGATGTGACAGTCTTTTTTTGGGGCCCCGATAAGTGGCCCAAAAACATTCTGTTATCACAGGAATAATGCAACCCCCCAGCTGAAGAAACTGATTTGCCGACCTCCGTGTCCCCGTTTGCGTTTAGCTCTATTACCTAAAGGGTGCAGTCTCGAACGCGCACTTCGTCCTCGAACGCAAACCTGGTGCAGTGCAACGTCATCAAAAGGTGCGACAAAATACTGGATATTCGTAGGTTGAAGTTGTGATGAGGGGGATGTACCGCGTTCCTTGAATTAAACCCTCCTAACGTTTTACAACGAAAACGGTTAGAAGATTCTGGGAGATTCCATGTGACAAAGGTTCCATGTCCGGAAAAGATGCCGAAACCCGATTCGACTTGCCGGTCGGGCATCCTGAAGTTACATAGGCGCCAGCCGGGAATTCTCAATTGCTGAAAGGCGCCCTGGTTTACTTGTCTAACGCTATGCAGAACTGCACATGCCGCACGATAGCATTTCTACCACGCCTTAACCTACCCTTATGAGACCATTCAATAATTCTATCCATTTTGAGGAGTTAATTTTCGTGCAAAATGTCGTCAGCCCAGCGCCGCCCGCCTTCGGAGAGCCCTCAATCGCCCGGCCCTTCTATCCTTTGCTCAAATATAAATTTCGCGTGCTGGCACCTGGTCTCATACCAAGAGCTCTCTGGTGGCTGCTTTGCTAATCTTTGTTACAATTCGCAGCTGGCTGGCTCCGGCAGAATCGCACTGCCCCGCCACAATTAGTAATGCTGGCACCGTTTCAACATCCCGCGTTGGTCGTGCGCATTAGCTTCGCGTTTCATAATAGCGGCATTTTCATTACGCTTTGTGCGTGGGCAAAATAATGCAATGTAGGCAGCTGCTTGCAGCTGTGAGTGTAGCGGAGGCACCCATAACACGTCTGCAATGGCGCAAGGATAACGAAGTTTTGCATACATACATTGACATGCGCAAAAGAGATCCATGCGTACGCTTGGGGCAACAATCAAAGCGTACGAAATCGATAGTCGACAGGCGGAAACATTTGGCTAGGCGCATGAGAGCTCACAGGATATGTAGCTGTAAGCTTCCAGAAAGTTTCACCGCTCTCCTATGTGCCCCGCCCAGCTTCACGAAAGAGCTTCCGCCTTGAACATCTCTTTTGGAGCTGCACATCTACGGACACCAACCATTAGGGCTCAGGGCCCACGAAATCCAAGCAACTGTGTGAAGGCGCATAAAAGTACTAGGTATAGGCATGTTCGTCGTCAGTAGCCAACGGATAGTTCACCTGCGTACGACGTACAGGTGAAACAGGCATGCGGTGAAAGTTGCCCCAAGATCCCAGTCCGCTGATACACTGTTGCTTTTCCTATCAAGTAATCATTTCATGGAACTATCACTTAAGCTTATTAAATGGCGCCAAAGTTCAACTGGGGCAGTAACGTGGAGACATTATCGCGTAGAAATCACTAATGGCGTGTTTCTGCCTTGGTCGAGCGTCGTTTGAGGCAGCACTTCGTAAGGTAAATCTTCAACGTTGGTTATGAAAGGTTGAGCGACCAAGACCCTTGCGGCGAAAGTGAAGCAAAGCTGGACTGGCCTTGCTTACTGAGACGAGGGTTCATTTTGCGTCCCCTTGAGAACGAGGCTGCTAATCATGCTCCTCTGTTCTTGCGTTTCACGGCCTTTTTCATGACCTCGCCACAGCTAGGCCTGGATGTATCCAAAACGCCTCGCCACTCGATCCGAAACATTGCGGTCACATATTTGCCGCTTAGTAAGCATGTGGAAATTCTCCCTGTTGGGGCACTTCGCATACCGCATGTTTGCATGCGGATACTGTCCGAATAGGTTCCAATTGGCGTCCATGCACGCACGACATTTTCGCCTTCTGGGCTCATGCCCACACCTCGAGTACTTGCGTATATGCGATGCAGATGTCCCACTTGCTTCCTCAAACCGACATCTCCTAGCACCTTCCGGCACTCCTTACTTCCTATCTCCCCGCATGTCACGAACCTCCGCCATTCTTGCCCATCCCCTCCTCCCCTGTCCCTCCCCTCCATTTACATGCTTAACGCATCCAGTGACGAACCCGCCTTTCCGGTAGACAAACAACCAATCAAACCCCTCATCGCTTCGCGACGCGTCCCCGCAACCCTCGGGCGGCTACCCCATCTGAAGTAGCTTTATGTAATACATATTACGGCACACACATCATCTACGAGTACGCGCTAAGGCGCTCTGCCAGCATCCTGAGAGGCCACCGCACCCCCACTTTCAGGGCGATGTCGAGGTGGCGCTATCGTACCTGCAGGATGACCCTCTCACTGCCGCCTGTACGCACTTTCGCGACGGCAGCAACCTCTGGCACGTCGCCGCCGCCAGCGGCCACCTTCTCCTGCTGCAGGCGCTGGCGGACCGCCTCACCGCCCTGTGGCCCACACCGGGGGAACCCACAGGAACCCACGTAAGGCCCCCATACCCACACGGGGCCGCCGGCCATACACTTCTGTCTAAATGTGACCGTGTGTGTTTGTGCCTGTGTGTGTCAATGTTGGGGGGGGGGGAGATGTAATGGCCTGAGGCGCATGCGTGTGTGTTTGTGCCTGTGTGTGTGTGTGTGTGTTCTGTAGGAAATTTCTTCGTCCTTAACCCGTCCCTCTCCCCCCCTCCTTTCCCCCAACCCCCCGGTGGGCCTTCTTGGTCATTCTTTGCTGCTGGGCAGCATGGGGGGCAACAACAACGACAACAGCAGCAGCCTGAGCAGCAGCCTCAGCCCCAATACGGTGCGCCGTCATTCTGGCGGCTCTCGAACCCCTTTCTGCGGTGCAGTGACGGTTTCCGGCGCCGCGGCCCGGACTCCCGCCCCCGCCTGCCACTGGCGGCGCTCGTCAACGCACCCAACGTGCTGGGACAGACCGCGCTCATGGCGGCGTGCAAGGGCGGACATCCCGGTTGTGTGCAGTTCCTGCTGTCGATGGTGGGTGCTACGTTCCATCTCTCTCTCTCTCTCTCTCATGCTTTGCAAGTCAGCCCCCGGTGTCCTCCATATTATGTACTTTTTCTGCTCTCCCTCTCTCGACTCCCTCACATAAATCTGAACTAAACTAAACCTAAGTTCAAACTCCCCGCCCGCATTGCAGGGCGCCAATCCCTGGTATCGAGACCGCGCCAACTGTACGGCACTTCACTACGCCACTCTCCACGACCAGGGTCCTGCCATCGAGGCCCTCCTGCAGCATCAGGCCAGCGCCCGGCCCCCCCCGGGGACCCGGCAGAGCTTCGTGCGGTGAGGAGTGGGAGAGTGACTTCTGTGGCTGTGTGCGTATTTATATATGTATGTATGTATGTATGTATGTATGTATGTATGTATGTGGGGGGGGATGCGTTTGTTTTTGGGGCCTAAGAGCCGCGCGCAGCTTCTTGCCGTCGCCGCCGTCGACAATGTCGACGACACCGACACTGACACTGACGTCCCTCGCTGCTCATCTCACTGTCATCATTACGGCTCTCTGACTGTGCGCCCATTCGTCTTACGTTGCCTCTTCTTCTTTCTCTCCAACCACCGCCGCCGCCTCCGCCTCCGCCTCCGCCCTCCCTCCTCGTCCTCGCTAACTTGCCTCGCCCCCATCACGCCGACTGGGGGTTCTGGGCTTTGGGCTTTTGCATCTTCCCTTTCCCGCCACGAAGGCTGTTGGTGCTTGACTTTTGTAACAATATCATCATCATGATCATCATCATGATTATGATCAACATCATCATCATAATTATAATTATAATCATAATCATGTAGTATTATCCCCCTGCCTTCCTGACCGCCCCATCACCCGCCTACCCCCCCTCTGGCGCAGCCTGGTGGACGTGCCGAACTTCTGCGGCTACACCGCCGCGCACTTCGCCGCCGTCGCCAACAAGCCGCGGGCGCTGGCGGCGCTGCTGGCCTGCGGAGCCAACATCGCCGCGCGGTGCTGGTCGGAGGGCAGCGACTGGATCAGCGGGTAGGGCCCCGGGGGGCGGGGGGTGGCGATGGGGGGGGGACTCCACCTGGGGGTTGGTTGGCGGGTTCGTTGTGGCGGTTTCTGGTGGGCTAGGTGGTGCCGTCCGGTTGGGAGCCCGGAGCGGTGTTGAGGCGGCAACCTTGAGCAGGGGGCACGGGAGCACATGTACGTATGTATGTATGTATGTATGTATGTATGTATGACGTTGATTACACTGTGGGCTGAAAAGCCGGGGGCCCAGGGCCGAAGCACAGCGCGGGGGGCGGGTGCATACGGCTGGTTAGTCTCATGCACTCCGCCCCCGGGTCAGGCCGCACGGGAAACGACGGCCGGCACGCAACAGCGCTTGTTTGGCGCTCCAACTAGACGGGATCTATGCCCGTTGGTCTCCTAACATAAACGAAGTCGCAACTGGGGGGCTCTTCCTGCCGACCGAACGAACCGAGCATCTCAGAGAGCTCGCTACCAGGACTTGGGCGACCGGGAGCCCGACGAGTCTTCCCGGGCTGGGGAGGTCACCAAGCTCAAAAATCCTCACGCAAAAAAGAGCGCAAAGAGCTCACACCACAAGACGCCAAACAGCCTCCTGAGACTACTACCCTCCTCCGCCTCTCCCTCCCTGGGCTAGTCCAGGGGAGATAGCCCCCGTCGAGGGGGTAACACCGCACAAGTCCGCGCCCTTCCACAGCACTGGGTCTAAATTGAAAAGTACTCAAACGGGAAGACCCTGCGGCAACGCAGGGCGATCAAGCCTCCGGAAACCACAGGGGGGGAGGGTAGCCAGCTCGGCGCCCCCCCAATAC